CATAGACTTTAAGGTCAGAAGGGACCATTATGATCATCTAGTCTGACCTCCCGCATGATACAGTAAGGCATTTGAGGCAGTCTCAAATGATATTCTTATCGCTAAACTAGGCAAATACAATTTAGATGGGGCTACTATAAGGTGGGTGCATAACTGGCTGGATAACCGTACTCAGAGAGTTGTTATTAATGGTTCCCAATCCTGCTGGAAAGGCATAACGAGTGGGGTTCCGCAGGGGTCTGTTTTGGGACCGGCTCTGTTCAATATCTTCATTAACGACTTAGATATTGGCATAGAAAGTACGCTTATTAAGTTTGCGGATGATACCAAACTCGGAAGGATTGCAACTGCTTTGGAGGACAGGGTCATAATTCAAAATGATTTGGACAAATTGGAGAAATGGACAGAGTTAAACAGGATGAAGTTTGACAAAGACAAATGCAAAGTGCTCACACATACAGAATGGGAAGAGACTGTCTAGGAAGGAGTACGGCAGAAAGGGATCTAGGGGTTATAGTGGACCACAAGCTAAATATGAATCCACAGTGTGATGCTGTTGCAAAAAAAGCAAACATGATTCTGGGATGCATTAACAGGTGTGTTGTGAGCAAGACACAAGAAGTCATTCTTCCGCTCTACTCTGCTCTGGTTAGGCCTCAGCTGGAGTATTGTGTCCAGTTCTGGGCACCGCATTTCAAAAAAGATGTGGAGAAATTGGAAAGGGTCCAGAGAAGAGCAACAAGAATGATTAAAGGTCTTGAGAACATGACCTATGAAGGAAGGCTGAAGGAATTGGGTTTGTTTAGTTTGGAAAAGAGAAGACTGAGAGGGGACATGATAGCAGTTTTCAGGTATCTAAAAGGGTGTCCTAAGGAGGAGGGAGAATACTTGTTCACCTTAGCCTCTAAGGATAGAACAAGAAGCAATGGGCTTAAACTGCAGCAAGAGAGGTCTAGGTTGGACATGAGGAAAAAGTTCCTAACTGTCAGGGTGGTTAAACACTGGAATAAATTGCCTAGGGAGGTTGTGGAATCTCCATCTCTGGAGATATTTAAGAGTAGGTTAGATAAATGTCTATCAGGGATGGTCTAGACAGTATTTGGTCCTGCCATGTGGGATGACCTCTCGAGGTCCCTTACAGTCCTAAAATCTATGAATAAAAGAATGAACATGTATGGAGAATTTATTTTGTGAGAAGCCCTGGAAGTTTTTGATAAAGAGGAAGGAGCTGGGATTTCTGTTGGTGGACACTTCTTAACTAACTTCAAGTATGATGCTCTTCGCTGCAACCATCGATGCAATGAATGTAGAAGTCAGTAAAAACTGCTAGTGAGAAATATGTATTATTTCTGAATGTGGTGAAAACTAAGTGGATTTATGTTGAAACAATAACAGGATGCAAGTGGACGTGACAATTTAATGGTCTAGTGGTAGAGGCAGCAGATAGGTGATCCCAGATAATTAGATTTATCTAATGAAGGAGTCTACACCAAAAAAAATTAGATCACCAGGGATGGCTTGCTCAGCCATGGTCTTCCTTACGAAAGTGTGGAAAGACCACGGCATCTTGGAATGTACAAAGGTTCAACGGGTGAAAAGCTTAAGATTTCTCCATCACTACTTATGAGTGGAATCCTGGAGAACAAATGCTGCTGACAAGAAGAAAACTGAAGCCTTTGAGATGTGGTGCTGGTGAAGACACTTGTATCTCCTGGATGGGAAAAAGAAAAAATACGTTGGAAATATTATTGGAGAGAAATCAGCAAGTGCAAGCTTACATACTTGGGCCACAGCTGGTATAGAGAGAGAATAATCTGGAGACATTTATCATGGAAGGAGTGGTGGTGGGTCATTTGTAGTAAGGAACGACCAGCATAGAGATAAATAAATTGTGTGCGGCCTATCATTGGGAGATCAGTTGCTTACTGTGCAAGTGAGTGATGGATCAAAAAGGCTTCCAAAATTTCTAAGATGTCACCAGTATTCAGACAGGAATAAATGGATTTTACTTACTTACGTACCTACTTCTTAACAAGCTGGAGTTCATTGACTTGAGTAGCACACTGATGTAACTTCTAGTATTGTTAATGTGCTCAGTACTTACTCAGTACTTGTTCTGTGGAGGCTGGCAAAGACTTATGCATCACCATTTCTGTAGTCTTCATGGAATGAGAGGGAGATAAATTGAATCAGTGTTCACTGGTATATCATATAAGATTCATCTTTATAAATTTTTATCTTTGGTTAATTTAAACAAAAACAATAACTGGAAGATCTTCCATCCAATGTCAAGGGGTTCCATGTCTCATGTCTTTCTTAGTAGTCATACGTTTCTTAGTAATGCATATTTGTTTTTGCCTATTTCAGTGATCGCTGTGGAGAAGACCCAAACCAGAAAGTAATCCATGGGGTTATTAACTCCTTTGTTCATGTTGAACAGTATAAGAAAAAATTCCCCCTAAAGGTAAAAATGCATGATTGCTTGGTGTATTTTTAATTGTGAATTTTAATACTTTAATACCTTGTATTATTTGTCCTTGATTAGACTTTCTTGATTTAGTTTTATCAGGAAATTTTTGAGTGTCCTTTTCTGAATGAAACAGGGGAGTATTATAAACAAGAAGCTTCAAACTTATTGCAAGAGTCAAACTGCTCTCAGTATATGGAAAAGGTAAGAAGCCCAACTTTGACGTGCATCTATTGTGTGTGTATATAAAATGTAAAGGCAGAATACAGAACAAGTTAATTACTTTTTATACAATAGAATATGTTAAAATGTTAATTATTTTAGAAGGGAAAGATTTTTGTACTAATTTTCCTCCTGGTGGTACAACTCCATGCACTCAAAATGAAAAATAGGTGGTTTTTATTTTGAAGACATGTTAGTTTCTACAATTCTGTCTCTTTGCCTTGGCCAATGAGAACACACATATGGTGTACTTTTACAGAGTGAACATAGATATCTTAAGGATGGGAGATAGGCTTTCCAGAAACCTTGTTAAACAGCTTATGAAATGAATTGTATTTAAAGAACATAAATTGGCTGACAAGATAAAAAATGAGGAATTTACTAGCTGTCTGCACTGCAGAAAGTTGTTCCATAATTATTTCCCCTTTTTAATTGTCTTCTATCTCTATCATGTTTATTTTATTACCTGTTTTGCTGTATACATCTTTGTGCTTTCTTGTTGCTCTGGGGTGGTTATGAATTTTTGTTATGGGTAATCTAAGTAAATATTACTACCCAAGCCCTTTATATTGCTTTTTGGTTTCAAACTTTACAGACATTATACTCTGATTAACTGATAAATGTGGATAATGTGTAATCCTAGATTTTAAAAATAACTTCAATTCAGCGAATCGCAATCCTAGTGTAGTAATTTTCAAGAGTGTAATAATGCCCAGGTTATGGGCCTGAGTTACAGGCAGAAAGTTAGTGTTGCCCAGAGAGAATGAGGAAGGAGGTGACTGTGAGGGAGGAGAGGAGCATATTAATAGCTTAATTTTAGCCATGTAAACCTTCAGCTGATGGCTAGACATCCACGAGGAGAGATTCTGAGATGGTAGTTGAATGTATTTTGTGTATGAAATTACCCAGATATAAGAGGGAGAAGAGAAGGGGACCAAGGGCAGAGCTCTCTGGAACTCCCGCAGAAAGTTGGAAAGGGGATGAGGAGGAACCTCGGCAGAACATGCTGAAAGAGCAATAAGAGAGGTTGGATGAGAACCATGAGAGAACAGGGTCACAGAAGCCAAGACAGAATAAAATTGCAAGAGGAGGAGCATGGTCAGCAGTGTTAGATCTCATAAACTATAATGAGATTTGGGCCTAGTCAGTAGTTGAGTCACCAGTGCAAACAGGAATTAATGCAAGAAATAAAGTTAATGATTCAGTAGGTAGCACTCTTCTCTCTGAATTAGCATTGAACTAATGCCTCAGTGTCATGCACAAATTCAAGTTTGCCTTCTTCCTACTTAAATTCTCAAATCATACTCAATTCTCCTTTCCTCTCCTAAACTGTTCTGTAGTATTTATCTGTTCTATAGCTTGAAACTTTGCCTATAGGTTTTAGGTAGATTAAAAGATGAAGAAATGCGATGTCGGAAGTACTTACACCCCAGCTCATATGATAAAGTAATTCATGAATGCCAGCAGCGAATGGTAGCTGATCACTTGCAGTTTCTGCATGCAGAATGCCATAATATCATCAGACAAGAGAAAAGAAGTGGTAAGTCTCACAAAATATTAAATGTGTTGTGTATGTTGTTTTGCTTTGCAATTGATGATTTAAACAGATAGAACTCTTCCCTCTGCATTAGCATTGAACTAGTGCAGGGGTGAGCAAACTTTTTGGGCCGAGGGCCACATCTGGGTGGGGAAATTGTTTGCAGGGCCGGGGCAGGGGGTTGGGGTGTGGGAGAGGGTGCGGGGTATATGAGGGGGCTCAGGGCAAGGGATTGGGGCAGAGGAGAGTGTGGGATGTATGAGGGGGCTCAGGGAAGGGGGTTGGGGTGCAGGAGGGGTGCGGAGTGTAGAAGGGGGCTCAAAGCAGGGGTGCAGGAGGGGTGCGGACTGCAGGAAGGAGGCTCAGGGCAGGGAGTTGTTGGGGTGTAGGAGGGGTGCGGCAGGGGGCTCAGGGCAGGGGGTTGTTGGGGTGCAGGAGGGGTGTGAGGTGCAGGCAGGAGGCTTAGGGCAGGGTGCAGGATGGGTTTGGGCTCCAGCCTGGCGCCGCAGCGGCGCGCACCGAGGCTAGGGCAGGCTCCCTGCATGCCTGCCCTGTCCCCGGCCCCGCACCGCTCCAGGAAGCGCTGTGGCCCCTGGAGGAGGGGGGGGGGGTGGAGGGATCTGTATGCGCTGCCCTTGCCGCACCTCCAGGTACCTCCCCCGAAGCTCCCATTGGCCGCAGTTCCCTGTTCCTGGCCAATGGGAGCTGCGGGGGGCGGTGCCTGGTGGCATGGGCAACGCACGGAGCCCTCTGCACCCTTGCCCGGGGGCCGCAGAGAAGTGGTGCAGGCCGCTTCTGAAGCGCGGCGCGGGGCCTGCAGCGCCACGGGGGGCAACCCCCCCAGGCCGTATCCGGCCCGTAGGCCGTAGTTTGCCCACCCCTGAACTAGTTCCTCAGTGTCCTGGACAAATTCCAATATTCTCCTTCCCTATCTACCTACCCAGTCTCTGCTTAAAATAGCATAACTTGTAAGGTTTAGTTCCCATATTACTTTTATTTATGCATTTCCAAACAGTACTAGTTTCTCATGGTTCCAGCTTTCTTTGGAAATGAGGAAGAACAAGTCTCAGATAACCCTACTGCTCCTACGTGTTGGTACATCTGCCTTTTTACATGTGACCAAGGAAATTCCCCCAATCTCAAACTTTCCTAGACTGCAATCTCCGGATGCTTTCTACCCCGACCTTGGTCTTCTTGCTAAGCAGATAGCTACTGAAAGGACCCAGTGTATCTCAAAGTAGTAAGCACCTTTCAAGGCATGGGAAAAATCCAAACTCCTTTTTTTCTTGTAGCAGCCCACTTATAAAGTTTATCCTGCCTCTTACTATGTGCTCTTCAGATTATTTCTTCTTTGAGTGGCCTTTGCACATTTCCCACTATTGGGAGATGTACCTTTGTTGCTAGAATCTTGTAGAAGCAGTGTTTACTGCTAGTCAGATTCTTGTTCATCCAATGAAATATCTATTTCCTTGACACCTGATGGTGGTGTTACTTTAGGCTTCTAATTCTGTAAAGATGGGGTGGGAACTTAAGATGGCCTCACTACATCCTGTGTGGATGCTGATGGATATTTATAAATAATTCTTCTGGAGATTTATTATATTCCTTGCTTGTTTATGTAAAGTAGGAATTGCTGGACACATTCATTCTACTGTAAGTCTGTGTCTGGGATGCAGAAATATGAATTTCTATCTCTTAATTTGTTTTGTGTTCCTTGACACTGGCTTGTAATAACTCACCAAGAGGAGAGAGGGATAAAGCAGCATTCCTATCACAAATATTCCGAGCTACACATTTTCAGGATTAAAGTTCGGTATTTTATATCACATTTTCTTTAATCAGGTTTTTCTATTGGATGGTAGACTCCTTTTGCTGTCTCCTAGGAAACAATCACTTAGATATTTTAAAAGTTTTCTAAGCTGATGTGGAGCAAAGTGGGAAAAGTCTAGCAGAGGACTCCAGAGCTCTCTTGTCATTTGCCACCTGTTACCTGCTGACATGGAGCTCTAGGAAGATAGAAGATAGGAAATAAATTAGTCCAGTGGTGTTCTACCTTTTTCCTACTGGGGCACTACCTCTTGTCACTCCACTCCTATTTGGAACTCTTTCAATTTAGCAATATGTGAAGTGCAGATTGGTTGTAACTCCATCAATTACCAGGTGAAAATTGATACGTGTTTCAACCGTCATCCTTCCTTTTCCTGCTTTTCGCTTTATCTTTTGTCCAGGCTGCTTCCCCACTCTGAACTTTAGGGTACAAATGTGGGGGCCTGCATGAACTTCTAAGCTTAACTACCAGCTTAGATCTGGTCCGCTGCCACCATTCCCAAAGTGCTAATTCCCTTCCCTGCGT